GTTGTTTTGGTATGTGAAGGAGATCTTGGGGATTGAAAAGTTTGCAGTAATTGGGCCCAATATTCGCAACCATTCCATACCGAGTACCACATCTGCCCCTTCAATGGGCAACAAGTGAAACTGAATATTGAATAAGTGGTTTTGTAAAGTTATTGGAACTCGTGGGCAAAGTCTGGTGCAGGAAAGTTTAGAACCATTTCCCACCATGACAAAAAAGTTGGAAATGGGTGTGGGGGGGGAGTTTGAGGTGTTGAGCAATTCGGGGTTGTAGGATGTTATGAGTACTTCCTGTATCAATTAGGACAGTCACTGTTATACCATTCAGTAACCTGGTGAATTTAAGGGTTTTAGGGGGAAAATGTCCAATGGCAGCTTGAGGTGATAATTGAAAATAAGTATCATTGGATTCTAAAGTTTCGGGCTCTGCTCTCGAGTGGACTTCTGAGTTCTCCACAAATTGAATCGGAGCAGTGTCATCATCATCCTCTGCTAGTAATAAAAATTTTCCCGTGCTACAGCGATGACCCGGTATAAATTTTTCATCTCAATTAGAACAAAATCCTTGAGCCTGACACTCCTGCAATTGAGAATTAGATAGCTTACGAATAGAGAATTTGGGAGGTTGAGGGGTAGTTTGGGGTTTTAGGGCTAAGCTGCTTAGGCCCGTTGGCTGGGGTTGTATGGGCGTTTTGTGGTTGTGGAAGGGTTTCTGGAATTTGGGTTTGGAATCCCTGATTTTGGATTCAATCAACTTCGCAAGTCTAATTGCATGTGAAATTGACGCGGGTTTCTGTATAGCAATTTCATTTTGTATTTCTGCGATTAAACCAGAAATAAAACAATTTAGGATAGCATCTTGTGATAAACCCATCACTTGAGTACCAAGTTTCTCAAAAGCAGCTTGGTATTCAACTACCGAACCTACTTGTTTCAATTTAAACAACTCAGCTTGGTGATTAGTGTAGGTGGAAGGTCCAAATCGCAACTCCAATGCTCTTGTAAACGAGGGCCAGTCAATTAAGAGGTTACTTTGATACATCCATTTATACCAACAAAGTACTTCACCCTTCATATAAAATGACATCATTGATAATCTCTATTCAGGTGGTAGTTGATAAAAATCGAAATACTGGTCAGCTTGAAACAACCACTCAAGAGGGTTAGACCCATCAAACATAGGTAATTCTAATTTTGGGGTTCGAAATGGGGGTAACAGTGTTTGAGAAATAATTGGGGTTGGTGGGAGATTCTGGAAAATAGGTATATTATAGTTTTGAGGAAAAGGGATGTTGCTGTTTTGGGTGAGAAAAGGTGAAGATGTAAATCTGGGAATGTGTGTTGGGGTGGGTCGAATGGTGGTGTTTATGGGAAATTGTGGTATTGTTGTTGTGGAATGAAAATAGGGTGGTTGCTGTTGTGCAGTAGGAGAATGTTGGAGGTTAGAAATATGTGAAAAATTAGGGCTGAGGTGGGCTGTGGTCATGGGTATTGTTTGAGAAAAGTGAGTAGTACCTGAAGAGGGTGAAGCTGCTGCTGTGCGACTAGGAGAAGCTTGTTGTTCCTTATAAGCAGCAATTTTTGTGAAGAGTGCCACGATGTTGTCATATCTAGAATCAGAGATCTGATTTTCTTTGTCCAAGCGTGAATGGATGAGGTCTAGATCAGTTGTAGTCTTGTCAAATCGTTCATCCATTTGTTGTTGAGTCTCTTGCATTGCATTATCGAGATGGAGGTGAGCTGTGTGGACAACTTCTTCAATGATATCTTTAGGGTTGGATGGTTTGGGAGGAGGAGCCATAATGAGAGCACCAATTTGATAAGAAGATTTCTACTACTATTTTCTAAGTCTAGGGTTAACCAAGAACACACATAAGAAACTAATTTTGAGAAGAAAATATAACTTGTGAATTCATTCCTATCCTCCCCTTAACAACACAAGTCCTTAAATACAAAGGTAACCCTAAATAAAATGGGTTAATGGGTCAGCTCAACTATAACATAGTACTAGCAACAATAGATAAAATAAAAATAAACATTATTTGAGAATAAAGTCTTCCATCCATTTAGGTTGGGCCCTAATACGGATGGGCCTCTTATCACATCCTCTCTATCAAAGGTTGACAATAATCTATAGACAATTTTTTGCTAGCAAAAGGAACTCCAAAGTACTTAAAAGGTAAAGTACCTATAGCAAAACCAGTTGTTTGTTGAATAAGCTCCTGAGTCTCCTCATCAACCCCTCCATGATAGATCTTACTCTTGGTTATGCTAATGATAAGACTAGTGGCAGCAGAGAACTCAAAAATTTAGTCTCCCTTTAGATCTCTATACTCAGCTTCTGTCACATCATTTTCTTCAATTTATCCTTGCTAGTAAGAAAATTTTTGTAGTCTCCCATAGTTATCCAAGAAGTATTTATGCTTCTACCCAAGACTTCAATTTCTTTCCATAGTAAATTTCTTTTTTCAATCTGGTTGAAAGCGTATATGATTGTGACAATATATTGTAGGGATTGGTCCAATCCATAAACCTCAACATGGACATACTGACCAGTTGTCTTCAATACCTTCACCTTTACTTCATTGTACTTCCACATGACCCCATTCCTACCATTCATATGATCATTATAATTATTAGCAAACATCCAATTGAATCCAAATTCATTCACCTTTATCTAATTTACCTGATGCGACCAATGTCCACATATTTGAAGGTTTGTCACTAGCGTCCTCTTTAGCACTAGCGTCCTCCACAAATGGTTGGTTGATCTCTATATCTTGGCTTCTCACTTCAGTTGCCTTGATTGCAACAGGTTTCTGATTGGGGATATTCTTTCTATAGAATAATCATGTCCAATTCTCAGGCAAGACTGGCAATAACTTGGTTTCCATTCATATTCAATCTTCTGCTCCAGAATTTTATCATTGTTTGGATTTTGTGTGATATCTACTTCTACCAATGCACAGATATAGGAGATTCGCAACTTCTTGGCAATACATTCATCTTTTGTAACCCGTTTCCCTATGGCACTAGCAATCTTCGAAATACTTATCTCTCCCCACAAGTGTAATGGTAAATTAGGCATTGTTATCCATAGTGGGAGCATCCACAAAAGGTCCTCTTTTATCTCAAAAGTTGTCGACCAACATCGCTGAAATAAAGGTTTGCCATATATAAAATATGGTCCTTGGGCCATGGATTTCTCCTCGTCTTCATTATTCTTGAACCTCACTATAAAATATCCAGCATCATTGTAGTAGAGCTGTAGTAATGAGACAAAATTCTAGGTTTTTTCCATGAATTTTTTCATGGCGTTCATTGATAAAGTTTCCCCCAGTGCAAAGAGAATCAGAGCATGTTCCCAAAATTCCAATTCATCAGTAACATCCATCTCATCAATAACAATTTCAATTTCTCTGTTAACCATTGTTAGGATAATAAAATCCACTGTCATACCTCGATTCTGACTTTTATTCCCTTGAATGATACCTAGAAACAAAGTTTTTGTTATTGAAGAGTTTATTTACCTTTTTTTTTAATTATTGAATTCATATACTTATTAATAAAAAAAATTTATAAGTCACTCAGTTTTAAAAAAATATTTGACAATTAATATAATATTTTAAAAAATCATATTTATGAATGATCGTAAAGTATTGATCATATGAAAATTTAGAAATATAAAATGTTAATGACATAAAAACAATATGAATAGATCCAAGTATGTATATTAAGAAGTTAATTAAGTATAATTAAGATACATATCTATGAAATATTTTAATTTAGTGTTAGGAATATGCAAAATGAAATTATATTTATTTACTTTAAAAATTATCTTTTATGATAAAATGGTAGTATTTATATTTAAAAAATACTATAATTTGTTTTAATAAAAAAAATGAGTCAATTATGATGGATGAATACACAATTTTCTTATGAATACAAATTTGTCATTTCTTTTATAAATTTAGAACATCACCAGCAAAATGTGAATTAATGTTCAAAATTAGCGGATGAAACTACAATTACTCATTTATTCTAACTCTTCAATTTTTTTAGTTCGGAACAAACTATAAGATATTTTGAACCAATTAGTAATTTACACTTCTTATTTTATACATTTTTATTAAATGTTTATTTGTAGTTCTTTATAAAATATATTAAAAACATTCTTCATACCTATCCATATTTTGTTTGTCTTTCATATTTTTTCTCTCCAATATATGTGTATGTATTAGATATTTTTTATACCTTCTCGTATTTTTTAATATATTAATATTATTTTTCATATTATTCAATTTAAACAGACATGTCTGATGAGTAAAATTTGTTTTGTTATCGATAATAATTTGTGCGAGAATATAGTGGAACTTTTTTCTAGAGCAATCTTTTGTGAGAGACACACCACATACTCACCCAAAACCTTAAGGTGATAGGTGTATGGGTTCTCTCAATTATAAATGCTCAAGTCACCAAATTTCTATCCAATGTGAGACTATTATCCACCCTACTCACACTTGTTAACACTTAACAAGTTACACATATTAATATACTTTTGAAAAAATAATCTATTAAATGTATTGATCTTCTTAATTTATATATTTTTTAACCATTACTATCTTATATTTATTACTATTTATAATTACATTGCGCGATTCCTTACACTGGTTCTTCTATAAACACCAATACTTCTCAATTTAAAATAACAACTAACAAAAGACTTATATCAATATCATTACAACAATTGACATTGATATTGTTGAATATTATTACAACATAAATAAATCATGGAAAATGGAGTAATGAAAGAAAAATATTCATCACTCATACTGAACATGCCTGCCTCTAGTGATATTTGCAAGCCTTATTTATTTATTTATCATCCAAAAAAGTGAAAAAAATTGGGATAAGAGAATTATAATGACATTGAAAGTGTCCACTATATAATGAGTAGCAAAACTTGACTTAAACGAAAATAATCAATCCTTGCCGTTGTCACGCTAACCAGCTAACCAATCATCATCCATACAGTCAATTTCTCCGATGTCCATGCTGTGTACACATTGTCATAAAAAATAATTTAATATTGAAATCAATAATTAACATATATAACAACCTTTTAGCAAGGCCCTATATTATTATAATATTAAAATCAATTATTTTTTAACCGAACAAAACAAAAAGAATTTTTAACATGCATAACAAATATACAGCTGCTTCACAAACAGAATATTCCACAGCACTAGGAAACCCACTCTCAAAGGAAACCTATAAAATAAACATTTTTTACATGACCAACAATAAACTATGTATCATAAAAAATTGACTTAATATATAACCAAAGAGAACTATTGTAAAACACCTGATATATGTTTATAAATGAAAAAGTTAAATTTTATTTAAATTTTAAAATGTCTATTAACATTTAGAATTAAGTCATACAGTTTTGAACCACTCTGATGACAAGGTTATAGATGACATTTTTTAAAACTTGATTAGGATGCTTAATGACTCAATGACTTAATTAAGACCCACAAGGAGCATAATTAATTTCATGTAAAACTATCCCATCAAGAATGAAAATAACAGTAAAGTAATCTTGGGATTTTCTTTGTGTAAAACAAAGATTACAAGCATATCATCTGATCTGCAACAAACTACACACAGCAAATGAAAATTTATATGAAAAATATGAACAAGAACTTACCAAGGTAAAGTATAATCTTGGAAACTATTTTCTGAACACAATTCTAGGCAGCTTTCATTTGCATTCAACCAAGCTGGAAACTCCAGAGGCTGCTCAAAATCATCATTTTCAACCTTGGTTTCAGGTGCACCATGTTCCATGTGTTTTAAGTACTTGAACCAACAAGCTGATTGCACCAAACTCATAGTATCATTCCATTCCATTTGATGTTGATCTCCTATTGATCTGATCTCAGCTATAGCCTCATCATTCATAGCTGTGTGTAAGCCTCCAGTAGAATGAGTTAAGGCGTGTGAATCAACCTGTGATGTTTCAACAGAAGGAATATCCTGTGAAGCAGAAGAAGATGAGGTTCCAGGTGAGTAAGAGGATGATGACGATGATGAGTTGCTATTAAGATGAACAGTAATATCCAAGTTATTGAAATCATGAAAATTGAGATTCAGTCCCAAAGTTTGATTTGGAAGAATAAAATTGGGATTTTCAGGCAAAAGGGTCGGTGGTGGAAGAATTTCCGAAGTAGCAGGCCAAGTGTAAGAATTTGGAACTGAAACATAGGAAGAATCATTGAAATAAGTTGAAGAATTGGTTCTGCATGAAGGATAAATTCTGTGGTTTCTCCTAAACTTATTATATCTTCCATCTTGCTCAAAACTCTGCTGCTGTGAAGATTGATGCGATAGTGATTCCTTCTGCAACTGTTCTTGAGCATCATCTTGTTGTTGCTTCTTCTTCTGTTGTTCACTTGCTTCTTTCATGGATGCCCTGTGAAATTTTAAGGCGGTGACAATCTCTCTCCTAGCTTCTGCCATATTCATAAGCCTCTCTTGATAAGGCTTAGTAGTGTGAAGTCTCCTTCTAACTTGTTTCTTATGTTGTTGAGGTTGTGTCTTATGAGCATCAACAACAACTTTGTTATTTTTTGATAAGTTTTGACCAACAGAAACACCATCCTTAAAAACACAGTTTTGGTCTTTTGGTCTAGATGTACTTAGTTGTTTCACTAGGTTATCTAATTCCATTTTTTTTATAGTTCTTGCTTTAAAGAGGGTAGAAATATCATCTATATGGTATCAACTTTGGTGAATCTATATGGTTTTCTCCTAGAACACAATGTTATGGAAGATATGGTGATTAGAAGAAAGTCATGATCCTGTTGCAAGGTCTCATGAGCGTTATAAATAGTAGGGGACAGACACAGTCTAGGACCTTTAAAATATTTTGGAATTTGGTATACTAATAAAATAATATTTGGACTTTTACTTGTTGTAGGAAACTAGGACTGTAACCAATTTATTACTTGGTCTTACCACTGCCATAACTCACCTATATAATAATTCTCTTCATTTTGGGGAAAACTCTACATGCATGTCAAGTTAATAATTTGAAACAAAATAGATTATAAAAAAGAACCGAGCATAGAAAAACCACATGAATAAAAAGATACCTCCTAACATAAATAATAAACAGAACCATACAACATAACTTAATTGTATAGAGAATTTAAAATGTAAGCCTTCCATTCTAACAATATGCACCAAACAACAACAAAAATAATATGATTATTGAAATATAGGAGACTCATTATCGATTGAATAAACCGTGTTTAAAAGGCACTACAGATAGTGTATTTTATATATAGAGAAATTATAATTAATTAAATGTTAGAACTGTGAGACTAATTTATATACAAATATTTTTAACACTTCTTCCTTAAACTGGATCATATATGTCATATGAGGCGAATTTGTTACAAAAATAATTCAAGTGAGGACTCCTAATAGACTTTGTAAACATATTAGCTAATTGGTCTTCAGATTTTACGAAATTTGTGGTGATTTCTCCTGTCTCTTACATAATGATAATCTATTTCTATGTGTTTGGTCCGTTCATAGAAAATCGGATTAGAAGCAATGTGGAATGTTGTTTGATTATCGCATATGAGTTGTGTGTTTTGAAAATCTCATATCCTAAGTTCTGAGAGTAAATTTTTCAGCCATGTAAACTTCTTTGAGGTTGCTGCCATAACACGATATTCAGCTTCAACACTAGATAATGCAATTTTATTTTGTTTCTTACTTCTTCATGAGGTCAAATTACCTCCAATCAAAACACAATATTCGGATGTGGATCTCCTATCCGACGGTGATCCGGTCTAGTCTGCATTTGAATAACAAATGATTTTAGCATCACCCTTATCTTCATATAATAGTCCTCTTCCTAGTGCATTCTTTATATATCTAAGAATTTGAATGACTGTGCTCTCGTGTCTGTCACAAGGAGCGTTCTGAAACTGCCTTACAATGCTCACCGCATATGTAATATCCGGCCAGGTTTGTGTAAGATAGTTGAGTCTTCCCATAAGTCGTCGATATCTTCTCGTGTCTTTCAATGGCTCCCCATGACCCAGAAGAAGCTTGACATTGGGGTCCATATGAGTATCACTAGGATGATAATCAAGCAATACCAGTTTCACTGAGAATGTCTAAGGTATACTTGCACTAGTTGATTGTAATGTCGGATGAGGACTTGGAAACTTCAACGCCTAAGAAGTATCTGAGTGGACCCAAATTTTTTATCTAAATTTTTTTGAAAAGATGAGTTTTAAGTCGCTGGATACCCTCAGTATTGTCTCAAATGATAACAATGTCATCAACATAGACCACAAGAAAGATACGCTAATCGATGGAGGAATGAAGAAAGCAAATAGAGTGATCTGCTTCACATGTAATCATACCGAATTGTATTAAGGAAGAGCTAAAGCGACCAAACCAAGCCGTGGGGATTGTTTTAGTCCGTAAAGGGAACGATGAAACTGACAAACAAGATTAGAATTTTCAGGAACATTAAAACCTGGAAGTTGATCCATATAAACTTCCTCCTCAAATTCTCCGTATAAAAAAGAATTTTTAATGTACAATTGATGAAGCGGGCAATGAAGAATATAAGTCATTACAAGAAAGAGACAAACTGAACTAATCTTGGCCACCGGAGAAAAAGTGTCACAATAATCAAGACCAAACATTTATGTATATCCTTTGGCTACCAAACAGGCTTTGAAACGATCGATTTGACCATCTGGTCCAACCTTCACTGTATAAACCCATTGACATTCCACTGTAGTTTGTCTTGAGGTAAAGTAACAATGTCCTAAGTGTTGTTTGAAAGTAATACAACCATGTCTTCCACCACCACCTAATGCCAATTGGGATCAGCCATAGCTTCACCTGTAGACGTATGAATAGACGCATAATCTAAAACAGACACAAATAAGACAAAGGAAGTAGAGAGACGGTCATAATTTAAAACACAACTATATTTAAGATTATGATAATGAGATCAAATACCTTTTTGAAATGATATTGGAAGGTCAAGTGCAGGTGACGTAACTGGAGGAGCAGTTGGAGCAGGAGATGGTGTTAGTAGATCAATATCATCTCTAATGATGGAAGGGACTGTCGCTAAGGGTGCTCGCCAAGGATTGGGGCTCTTGTGCCTATTATGCTCATTCGGACGAGAATGAGAAATCAGAGCTTTCGTAGTTCGACTACAGGAAAGGATATGGGAAATGAAAGATGGATAGAATGTAGCTCGCCAAGATCATTGCAAGCTTGTGCCTACGTATCTTACATTCAGACAAGATGAAGACTCAAAGCGTCCATAGTTCGTGGAGACGACCATGAAAAGAGAAGGGGTTGAATTGGTTGAAGTTTGGTTGAGACACGAAAGATTGACTGACAAACAACCCAAGAGGCGTGCCTCGAGAGCTGTCACTCAAGAATCCAAGGAATGTGAGATTCCAAGAACTTAGTTCTTTCGGGAGTTGATTGAAAAGGTTTTGAGAACGGGTTTAACGTTTTGAATTCGAAAGATTGAATGAATAAAAACTCAAGGGGCATGCCTCGAGAGCCATTTATTCGAAGATCCAAGGGATGCTAGACTCTAAGAATCTTCTTCTTTCGCAAGTTGATTACGAAAATGTTTGAATAGAGATTAGGTGTTTTGAGACAAAAGGTTGAATGAACGACAACCCAAAGCGTGCGCCTCAAGAGCCACTCATTCGAAGATTCAAGAAATGTTAGACTCCAAGAATCCTCTTCTTTCATTAATTGATTAAGAAAAGCGTTTGAAAATGATTGAATCGAATAAGTTGCGAAAAGAGGTAGACTGCAAGGCAAAAAGCACTCGACTTACAACTTGACTAAAATACCGCTTGACGTAAGGTTTGATTTTATTTGTGTGCAAAGACGTGTTGGAAATGAGGTTGATTTGAAAATGGAACCGACTCGACGACGAATCGAGGGTTAGGTTGTGAGAAATGATACTAGTCCCTGAGGGTGCTCCTAATAACGAAACCACGATAAGGGGTGATTGTCGCTGATAGACCTACAATGAGGTGTAATAGGTGTGTGAATGACGGAATGGATATCTCAAGCATCTGAAGTACCATTCTCATCAGGTAACACAAAGGTAGAGAAAAATGGTGAGGTTTCAAAGAATGTGACATCGGAGGAAACAATATATCATTGAAATTGGAGACAAAAACAACGATATCCTTTTTCTATTTCTCTTAATCTCTCATTCCCGACTTATTATTTTAAACAAGTATATTCAAAATTCAAATTTCAAACATTTTTTAATTTTTTTCACACTTTTAAAATTCAAATCTTCTCTAATTTTTTCCACACTTTTAAATTATTATTAAAATATTTTAATAAATTTTATAGTAAATACTATTTTTAATTATATATTACTACGTTTATACTTATATAAATCTGAGTTTAAATATTTTATGAGGCAACTAACTTTTCTCCTTGTGTGTCACTATCATCATAATTAAGTTGTTTTTAAATGTTAAAAGTTCTCTTTTCTTTTTATTTATTTCAAAAAAAAAATATTTTATATAATTATTTAATACAATTCTTTTAAAATATTATTTAACTATTTTAATAAAATTTTATTGTAAAGACTATTTTTAATTTTATATTGATAAGTTTACAATTATATAAATGTGAGTTTGAAAATATTTATTTTTAACCTTTACGGCATATTTAACCAATTCAATTTATTTATTATCATTAATAAAATATTTATTAATTTATTTTTTAATTTTAATAAAATTAACAATTTATTTTATACGACAATTAATTTTTCATCTCACGAGAACTATCATTATAATTGAATTGTTTTTAAATGTTAATTTTTTTCTTTTTTCTCCATCTCACGGGCCTTTTTTTCTTTTTGTATGATTATTTAATAATATTGAATTTAGATGATCATTATTAGTTTACAATTAAGTAAGTCGTTTTAAAATATCATGTGAATTTAAATACATTTTAGATTCAATCGTAGTAAAATTAAGGCAAAATATAATTTTTGGTCCCTTAACTTTATCCTTAGGTTCAAATTGGTCTCTTAATTGTTTTGTGTCAGATTGATCTCTTAACTATTTAAAATGTATCATATTGATTCTTTTTGTCTAATTAGCGACAAATTTAGCGATGAATTTTTGAATTTTTTTTCGTCGCTAATTAGACGAAAATGACCAATATGATACGTTTTAAAGAGTCAAAGGACTAATCTGACACAAAAAATAATTAAGGGACTAATCTGAATCTAAGGATATAGTTAAGGGAACAAAAAGAATATTTAGCCTAAAATTAACTATTTATTTTATCAAATTGAATAATATTCAATACACGTCCAAACAACTAATAATATTTATAATCCAACACTTACTTTTATTTGATAGAAAAAATTATTATTTTCAAACTACAATTGAAGAGAATATGTTTTGTTTCAACAATCAATATCAGTATAACAACTATTTTATTTTAATAAAAAATTATTTGTATTGAGAGGTAAAATTCTTATTTGTAAATGTTAAAATTTTCTCTTTTTTACTTTTTTATCTCACTGGTTTCCTTTTTTGTATGATTATTTAATAGATTTGAGTTTAAAAAATCATTGTTCATTATACAATTAAATAAATCATTTTAAATTTAAAAGTGTTTTGGACTAG